AAAGGGGGTTCACAGAGATCAGGCGGAAACAGTGGAGGAAAAAGGATATATCAGCACGTACAGATTCTCAGGCAACATCATCTGGAGCGGTAACAGGTACACAGGAAACTTTAACTGGGGTGGGTATTCTTAAAAGGGTTCAGGAGAGTTCAAAACCCTCGGGGAAGGATACAAATTCAAACATGTATCCAGCTCTGGGGCTTCTACGGCTTCTACGGTTTTGGAGGGATTGGATAAAGGATCTGTTGATGGACAATTCTGTATGGTAAATGCGGGACGTACACCAAGAGGAAGAGAGGATATCTCAAATGGTCAATCTGTGTTGAAAGGAAATCCGGAGTTAGTAAAAAAGGTGGTCCAAGCTTTTAAACCAAGGAGGGGAAAAGTTCTTGATATGACGAATAGCAATCGGTTTTCTTCTCTTTCTGACGAATCTAGTGATGATGATGATATGGAGGTCATTGATATGGAGGAGCATTTAAGGGAAAAAAGAGGAGGGGCTGATCCACCTACTTCGTCTCAATGATAAAGTTGGCCGCTTGGAATGTTAGGGGCTTAAATGCCCTTATCAAACGAAAGGAGGTACGTGATTTTATTACTCTCAAACAGCTTTCTTTATGTTGCCTCATTGAGTCCAAAGTGGTTTATAATCACTTGGGAGATGTATGTAGTAGTGTATTTGGCAATTGGACTTGGATATCTAATGGTTCGGTCAGTGAGCAAGGTACTCGCCTCATTATTGCTTGGGACCCGTCGGTTTTATCTGTTCTTATGATTGAGCAGCATCATCAATTTATTCATTGTGAAGTTCGTATTTTTGGTCAATCCGAACCCCTTTTTTTCACGTTTGTTTATGGCTGTAATACGGGTACTGAACGGCGTTACCTTTGGCGGGCTTTAGGGGAGTTTCATGCCTTCAGTCAGGGGAAAGCTTGGATTGCTATGGGTGACTTTAATTCGATGCTTTTCCCTCATGATGGGTTRGGGGGATCCTCCCGGAGGAATTCTGACATGGAGGATTTTCATACATGTCTGGAGGAGGCTGAATTATTTGATATTTCTTATCAAGGGTGTCAATATACTTGGATCCAGAAACCRKCRGGGGGAGAGGGTGTTATGCGAAAACTTGATCGTATCTTGGGCAATTCGACTTTTCTCTCTAGATTTGGGGATGCTTCGGCTTTTTTTGAACCTAGGGGAATTTCTGATCATTCTCCGGGCGTTCTTTCTTTTCGTGTTGGAAGACGTATACGACAACGTGGTTTTAAGTTTGACAACTTTGTCACCTCTCATAAGGACTTCCTAGTTTCGGTTGAGGAGGTTTGGTCGAAACCTCAGCATGGTTCTTACATGAAGAGGGTTCTTCGGAAATTAAAAGATATAAAGGTGGTTTGTCGGCGTCTCCGTAATTCTTATGGATGTTTGGATAAGAGGGTTGTTCAACTTAAGACGGAGCTTGATATTGCGCAATTGGCTTGTGATCTTGATCCGTTTAATGATTTGCTGAAGGAGGACATCGCCCACCTCTTATTAGCTTATCACGAGGCTCGGAGTAATCAGGTTGATTTAGCTCGTCAAAAAGCGAAGATTTCTTGGTTAAATGAAGGTGATGGTAATTCTAAATTCTTCTTTAATGCTATGAAAGAAAAGCGCAATCGGAACCATATTGCTATGATCAGGGACTCGGCTGGCGTAATTTATGAGGATCAGGAAGTTTCTACGGCGTTCATTTCTCATTTTACAGAGATTCTTGGTACCTCTTCTAGTTTGGTTCCTTCTTCTATGGAGGATTGTGTGTTTTGTAATGCTTTATCTTTATCGGACTCTCTTCTTTTAATTCGTCCAATTTCTGATCTGGAAATTAAGGATGCCTTATTTGCTATTGGGAATGATAAAGCTCCGGGCCCTGATGGTTATTCTTCTAAATTTTTTAAGTCAGCTTGGAATGTGGTTGGGCGGGATGTGCTTATTGGGCTTCATAACTTCTTCTATTCTGGTAAATTGGAATATGAGCTGAATCATACCCTTTTATGTCTTGTGCCGAAGGTCCCTAATGCCTCTTGTGTCACTGATTTTCGGCCTATTGCTTGTTGCAATGTGTTATTGAAGTGTATTAGTAAGATTATTGCTGATCGGATGAAAGGTTCGCTAGATGTTCTTATAAGTAAAGCCCAATCTGCGTTCATTCCTGGTCGCCAAATCACCGATAATATATTAATGGCTCATGAACTGGTTGCTGGGTATCAGAAATCGGAAGGGGAACCTAGATGTGCTTTCAAGATTGATATTCGTAAGGCTTATGACACAGTTGAATGGAACTTTCTTTTGGAGATGCTGAAGGGAATGGGTTTTCACCCAGTTATGATCAACTGGATAAAGACTCTGATCACGACACCCTCTTATTCAATTTGTGTGAAT